GCTGCGGTGGATGGACGTAGGGGGGTGACCGGGCTGGAAGGGGGGGGGGGGGGTTATTGCTGCAGATTGGGGGGTCGTCAGGGGCGAGACATCAAGAGTTGATTCATAATTGACCGAGCTGTCACATTGGCTACCATTTGTGGGGCCCTCATGCGCTGAAGGATTGAAGACCCTCTCGAGCGAGTCTGAGTGTATCTTCCCTGAATCTGAGAGTCTCAAACCTCCTCTCCCTGCCCTTCTTACTCTAAGTCTGGTCCTTTGGTTTTGAGAGGAAGGCGGCAGGCGGGCTTGTGACCCGTGAGCCGCGCCAAGGCCTTTGTGGGAGGTTCGCCCCACCGATTGCGGGAGCTCTGCCGGGACTCAGGAGGAGTCCTGGAGGCAGGGAACTGAGTGGTGATTCCCGGACTCCCTCTATAAACCCAGTTATAACCCCTACTTGTACACCGTTCTACGGTTGACTGAGCGTATGGTGTGAACCCTGTATTTGATTTTGGGTTGACTTTCGGGACATAAGTCAGACTAAAGTAAACGAACGTGTATGCAACCTCAGTTTCAGCCTTGTTGATTGTCTAAAAGCAGATTGTGAACAAAGGGGGTGCATCTGGAGGAAGGTTGGGAGGAAGGCAGTATTGTGTGCAGTTTGACTGGGTCGTTAAGGCTGGAAGGTCTCCATAAGTTTGGGGAAGCCCAGCGCTTTGTTTATTTTGGTTTTGTGTGGAACAATTATGCCGCTCTATAAGTTTAGGTAGCCTGAGTGCTCTGAAGGTTGGGGAGTCCCCATAAGTTTGGGGAGACCCGGTGCTGTGAATTGTGTGGAGGGTCGGGACGCTCTATAAGTTTAGGTGACCTGACTACTTTGACTTGTGAGGGTTTGATTGTGGATGATTTTCAGGGACTCAGGGCGCTCTATAAGTTTAGTTACCTTGGGTTGCCTTGTTTTACTTGGAGGTTCTTTCAGTTTCTTTGATTCTGAACGAGGAGGTCTGAACCGCTCTATAAGTTTAGGTGGTTCAACCCTTCTCCTGTTTGTTATGAGGGGGTAATTCTAGTAGGGGGCAGACCGCTCTATAAGTTGAGGTGGCCTGGCCTACTGCCTCATATGGACTGGATCAGAGAGAAATGAATCTGACAGAGGATCAGACCGCTCTATAAGTTTARTTAGTCTGACCCAATGCCTCGCACATGTTGGAACCCAATGACTATAATTTGGTTATATTGTACTACTATATTACTGGATCATAATAGGCCAGTCAGACCGCTCTATAAGTTTAGGTAGCCTTGCTATAGCTTATCATAACTGAAGAGAGTATAATTAAGAGGCATAACTGAATGTAAGCCTGGGAAGGCTGAGCAATGTTCTAAGTTGAGCGACCCAGCCTTATGTCCACTTTAAGATTAAGTTCAGAGAAATATATACAACTTGGCTATTTAAACAATTCAGGGCGGCTAGAATGGTCTAGTCATATGCCTAAAGAAGAGATAAATAGTTGTGTCCTCTGTTTGGTGTATATTTGGCTAAGTCAGATGCGCTYTATAAGTTTAGGTGATCTGACTTTAGGCCTGGTTAAGTTGGGCGCGCTCTATAAGTTCAAGTGGCCTGACCTATGCCTTATGTAAGTTGGGTATAAATGGGTAACTCACAGAGGGAGCATGAACTATTGCTTGCTAAGAACTTGGGGTTGGTGAGAGTACTTACCTTTGTGGTTTGGCCTGCATGTGACTGAGTGGGATTACTACTTGGTCTGGGTTTCAGGATGACAGGTAGTTGTTTTAGAGGCTCACCACGTGCTAGAGCAATAGGAGTTAGTTCAATTCCTGCATTTTCTGAGCTGATTTGATTTTACTTAGATCGATTCTTGCATTTTTTGAGACCCTTGGTTATACTTGGGCTTGTATAAATTTTGACAAGCTACTTTCTCTACGGGAAGCGCTGCCGAAATTTTTACAGGCTCAAGGAGTTAGTCAAATTTTGACTTGTCAAAAGTTCAAATTGTTTTTTCTTTGTATCTGACTTAGTAAAAATTTGAAAAGTCTCATTTTCTAAAGGAGTGCTGCCCAAATTTTTGCTAATTCAGGGAGTTAGGCAAATTTGGACTTTGAGAAGTCAAGGTTAGTCCCAAATTATGAACTTAGCCTTGTATAAATTTTGGAAAAACACTTTTCTAGAGGGAATGCTGCTGAAATTTCTGCAAAACTGAGGAGTTCGTCATTTTTTGTCTGGGTTGAACTTGAGTTGCCTTTTGAGTTCGAATTTGACTTAGTATAAATCTGGGAAGTCTCCCTTTCTAAAGGGAGTGCTGCCCAAATTTCTACTAATTCGGTGAGTCAGACAAAATTTGACTTTCCAGAGTTACAAATTATTTCTGCTTTTCATATTCGAACGTATATAAATTTTGAAAAGATACTTTTCCTACGGGAAGCGCTGCCGAAATTTTCTTAGTTTAAAGGAGTTAGATTATATTTTGACAGGTGACGATTCTGGTGATCCATTCTATATAGGGGAGATTATGCCAGGATCCACCCTTGCTTTGGGCCCTGCTTAAAGGTAGATTCAGACTTAGTCAGTTAGAGGGATCTTGAGTGAGAATGTGTTATGGAGTTGTATTATCCATACACTTATGATTTCAACATGGGGTTGGCCTGCCTTGTGTTACATGTCATCTTGACCATTTGCTTCAGGATTTGGACGAGTGTCAGCTTGATCGTACAAGGATCATCTTCTGTTATCACTGATAACAGGTCGGTTGCCGATTCGTCGGTCTACGACTCAATTCCAACTCACTCTCCATACCCAACCTAAAAGGCTTTAGCCCTGATGACTTTATTGTTTGTTAAGGATTTCACCCGGACTTTTATTGAATGACCATTTGACAAAGGTACTAAGTTTTTAATTATGGTTGGTTGGACAGGGGGTTGGGGCTTGCATGGCTAAAACAAGGGGTATGAGTGCGGAGATTGGTTGGGGTTGACCCCGTGTAGTGCGTGTTTTATCGTTCGATTCTTGATGTGATTGCAGGTATGTCATGTGGCTCGGATTTTGGATTTGGATTGCCCGCGATCCCATATATATACATATGGTTGTGAGGAGTCCCACTGTGCCTGTGAGAAGTGATCGTCTCAACTCTATCTCTGTTACGCGTGTATGCTTGGGTGTACCTATGGTGGGTGTTCGCGAGGCTTGAAGAGCCCCGTGTTAAAAACCTGCTTAGAGGTTAAGACTGAGAGGCATAGGGAAAACCTTTCCTTTTGCTTGTTTGCTTCTTGGGGGGTTTCTTAGTCGGACGTTCAAGGTCCTTGTCCAAGACATCTCAAGCCCTAGACTCTGTAGGGGAGGAACTTCCCCTTGTACAGAGCCTATCTACATTGGCCGGCGAGACACCCAACCCTGAAGGCGAAAATGTCGCGAGGGCCGAACGGCGTGTCCCTCAGCTGTTCAAAATCGTGAGGGGTGACCCCTCACGATATATTCCTTCAGCCACTCAATATCGCGAGGCCGGAGCCGCGATTACCACGTATGACCGACATCGTATGGTTGGTGTGTGATTGGCCTGCAGCCGCGCGACTTTATACTAGAATCGCGCGTGCGACGCTCCCCGCCCTAGCGTCTAAAGGTTATGGGATCAAAAGGGGCGCACACATTGCACGAACGCTTGGGATTATTATAGGCCGCGGGCACCACCCGAAAAGGGGAGGGTACCCCAAGATCATGAATTTCCATTGGAGTAAGGGAACCTCCGGCCTATTCTCTATCTTTTGCTTTTTAGAGATTTTCGTGGTTGGACGTTGTAGTCCGTGACAACCGTCAAAGTCAAACCCCTTGACTTCCGCCCAGGCCTGGAGTAGGACTTACCCAGGGCCGCAAGAAACGACTGTCACCACAGGTACGGACCTGTGTATCACCCACTCTGCACAGAGTGCAGAAGAGGGTGTATGGTCTTCAACCACGCATGACGCTTGTCCAGCGTCGAGAGATTAACCCTCAAGGCGCGTGTCAGCCGACACTTGAGTGTCGAAGGCGACCCTCGAGATTAAGGAGGACCGCACGAGTATGGGTACTACATATCACGCCATCACTGCGACCGCTTGCGTACATTTGCAATGCTAGTCGATATGAGTAGGCCCTGCGTCCGCGAGGTTTTATACTAAGTCCCGCGCGGGACGCCCAGCCGGATTCCGCATCGGAAAGTTATGGGTTGGCTACTGAGGGACTAGGAGCGTTGTCGCGTTGTTTGTGTTGTGTCGTTTCGCGTGTATGTGTGTGTGTTCCATTTTTTTTTGTGTTCGTAAAGTGGTGTGCGCGTGGTGTGTGAGATGCGTCCTAGTCGACCGACGACGGGTTGCACTTGGGACTTCAGCCCCCCAAGATGTCAGTTCGTGTGCGGGTCCGATAGGCGTGCTACCGCTCGTACTCCCTATTCTACAACGAACGAGAAACGCCCTCGGCTGGTCCACCTCTGCGATTGCAACTGATTAGCTTTCGTACTGTGGACTGGTAGCTCGACTAGGATACGCCAACCGAAGGGAGGTGACAACTCCCGTAAGGTGGAGGTAAGATGTGCCTCGCGTAGGCTCTATCCTGTCGTAGGGGCTCACGAGAGGTATGGCTGGTGCACTCGGCCGGAGCGGCCTAAGGAAGCTCCTTTTGTGTGTTCGTAACGAGGTTGGTCCAACTCCTGCGTGACGCGGCCGAGAGGGTCCCGCGCTGCCATGTGCGGTGCTGGACCGATGCGCTCGACAGGTGGCACCGTTTCCGGGGATAACGGAAGCCTACCGTTGTCCCTGGTGGAACGACATCCGGGTATGAGAGTGAGAAAAAACTAGGCATGATTGAGTTGATGATGAGTGGGCGGAACAAGATCTTGTGCGATTGTGCGTGTGTGGGGCCTAAACACTAACGGATCTAGAATGATTGTGTGATCGAAAAACTGTGTAGAGGGCCGTAGGACAGATGCTGACTCTATTAAAGTAAGCTTGGGCAACGGAGGTAGGGTCTGTTGAGGTCTAGAGGATGTGGGAAAAGAAGTAGGGGGGTTTGATAGAAGTATGATATGTCAGGCGACTGAATGAGGTGTTCAACGTTTCCTCTTAACAGGAAGGGTGAGTGAGAGACAGCCAACCAAAATGTCAGAAGGTGGGGGCGCTGTCCCAAGGAAGACCCTGACGCTCGACGACCTCATCGAGGCCCTGGACAAGTGTGAGAGGGTGCCGAGCAATATACCAAAGGTTAATACCTTCCACTTCAAGAGGGAACAGGTGCCCGATTGGCTGGATTTGACCGAGCAGGCGCTGGTGGGGCTGTCAGATGAGGTCAAGTTCCAGCGGATCTTAAAGTACGTCCTTCACAGCCACCATCGGGAAGTAAGCAAGGTTGTGGATGCCGCCAATGGCAGTTGGGCGAGGTTTAGGGACCTGATGCTAAGGAAGTACAGGTTGGGGGATGACTTGTTGACCATGGCGGACTTGGAGGCCATGAACAAAGATGACTTCTCCACGATCGGGGCGTTCGTGCACGAGTTCAAGAAGAAAGCGAGGAAGGTGTACGGGATCTCTGAAGAGACGCAGTGTGCCATATTTTTGGGTTTACTTACTGGCACGGAGGCCGCACAATTGATGAGTCACGGAGGAGGAAGTGGGAAGCTCACCTGGGCCATTATTGACAAAGGAGTGGAAGAGGGGAGTCTAGACCACGTGGAGCAGCACCAGATGCGACTGCAGAGGCGCAAGAGAGAGGAAAGGGATGCCACCGCATCTGGGACTCCAGGGGTAAAGAGAATCGTCACGGATGTGCTGGCGGCGTTGGGGTATGATAATGAGGCAGAAGTGCAGAAGAGAGGGGTGACTGTGGCCCAAGGTCGGGCATCAGGGGCAGTGGATGAGGAGGTTGGACTCGAGGACTACGGCGGAGAAGAGACAGACTCCCAGATCCTGACCAAAGCCCAGACGAAGCAGCGCAATTTGCTAATGGGGGGTCAAGGATCAGGAAAGGGGCAAGCCCCGCAAGCAATTGCCGCACCACCACCTGCCGCCACGACGGCGCCAGCACCAGCCGGGCCATCGCCTATGGGGCCGCCGCCAACTTGTGGGCACTGGATGCCGCATTGTCAGCTCACGCCCTGGCCCAGTTGTAACCACTGTACCTCGTGTGGAGGGAGTCAAGCCCACACTAGACAGATGGTCCCCTATTCGGGCCCGTCGGCAAATATGGGCCCTCCAAGCTACCCTGCGACCTAAGGTCAGTTTGTGGCTCAACCGCCGCCCTCCCAACAAGCCTCGCAGGCTAGTGTGGCCGGTGGAGGAAACCAGGGGCAAGGTGGGCAAGGCAATGGAGGCCGAGGCCAAGGGGGTCAAGGAGGCGCTGACCATATGGGAGGCCCTGCTTTGATTGGCGGAGTGCCACATGTTGGCATTGTAGCACTGTCACGGTAGGCCACACCATACGGTTCTGCCAACAGCGGCGGGATGATGAACTATCAGGGCTAATCTCCTCATGTATGGACGAAGATATATTCTAGAAATGGGGAAAGCATATTGACCCAAGATCCCGGGAAGGATCAGGCAAGAGGCCCTCAGGCGAGCGGCGGCAGGGCCACCGGCAGCCCCAACAATGTTCAGAGTGTGGCAAGAAAGGGAGGATCCGGGTGTGAGGGTCGATGAGATCGTGGACGAGAGCGAGGAGGTGACTCAACGATTAAAGGCGGGGACTATAAAGGAGGAACCCATAGTCGTTGAGTCGGACGATGAGGGGTTGGAAGTGGTGAGAAAGTCAGCCTCGACCATTTTGGAAAGGATGGAGGATTTGCTTGCGAAGGTAGGTAGATACCAGGAAAGGCTGAGGGCGATGTGTGCTGAGGCCCAGGAATGGTAAGCGAGCCTCCCGGAGGTGATGCTCTATGACTCCGGCCCGAAACCTTCATCAGGGCCACAGGGGTATCCGGGCGTGGCGACGGTCGGGTCGCATCCTAGGCTACCACTGGCCAGGGGCCCAGTCAGGCACCAGGCCGATCGCCTCCTCGAAGGGAATTTGAACCTGAACGTAGGAAGGAATTGATGGAGGTTCAGGAAGAGGAAGAAGAGGGTGATGATGAAGAGGACGAGAGGCTCCGGCAGGAAGAGGATCAGAGAGCAGAGCAAAGAGTCAAAAAGAGAGGGGTCTAGGAGGAGGTTGAGCCGAGCCTCCGTGACAGCGTGCCGAAGAGGAAGAAGTACGAGGTCCGGATGGAGGAGGGTTGTGATGTGGAGCGGATGGTGGACAAACTTTTGAAAGGTTATAATGACCTCATGAATTTGAAGGATATTCTAACATCTGCTCCAAAGCTGCGCGATAGTCTGAAGGGTCGCCTTTCGCGGAGATTAGTGCCCAACGTCCATCTGAGTACAATCCTGCCTAGAGAAATAGAGTGGACAGAGACAGGCACAAGGATGGACTGGAAGTGTGTGGCGTGCGGGTTGGTGGACCTGAAGGTGAGGGATCAACCAAGCATTGTGATGGTGGACACGGGCGCCGAAATAAATATTATCCGGGAGCGAGACGCGACTATGCTGGGGTTGGAGGTTGACCACTCGGACCATGGGGTGTTGCATGGTGCCAATTGTAAGGCTATCTTCTGCGGTACTGCGTCCAATGTGATGGTGGAAATCGGGAGGGTAAGGGCGCGAGCTTGCTTCTTTGTTATGCCCGACGTCGACCACCCCATTCTCTTGGGGAGGTCGTTCCTCTGCAGGACGGAGACTCTAGTCTTCAACAGGCATGATGAAACAATGATCTTGGCCCTGTCTGATCCGGCCTGTGGAAACTATGAGATCATCAAGTGCTGGAACACGGGACCGAGAAGTGGGAGGACTAGGCCAAGCCTCGGCTTCTTTACCTTCGAGGAGTCTGAGTATGCACGACGAAAGCTCCGGGAGGGACTAGAGGAGGAAGGAACGACCGAGGTATTATCGCTGAGCCTTACTGATGTGAACAAGGCCATGGAGGTGGTGGCGGCGCACGATATGGCGGACCCCGAGGCAATAAAGGCGTTAAGGGAGAAGGTCTTGGAAAGTCCTCAGGTGGGAGAGGTGGAGTTGATATATCGGCTTCCAGGAGGGAGGGGAGGCCCTGCAATGGCCCAGGCCCGAACGACAAGTCGGTCTTTTTTAGGGGAGGGCTTAAGCAGGGCTCCCAAAGGCGGTACAAGACCATAGATAAGAAGTGTCGCTCAGTCCCTGTGCTTGCCACAGAGGACGAGGAAGCCTATTATGAGTGGGAGCGAGGACTGATAAGACGTATGCGGGAGCGTGCGCAAGCCAGGGCATGTCGTATTAACGATGAGAATGAAGGGGAGCTGATAGTTGGGGAGCCCGACTTCCTTTCACCCCAAGAGAAGGCTTTGATGGTGGAGACAATGAAGAAGAGACATCGCGCGTATGCGTTTAATGACAACGAGCGTGGGAGGTTGAATGTGGATAAGATCCCAATGATACGAATCCACACCGTCCCACACGAGCCATGAAATTTAAGGGGCGCGCGATATCCAAACCCGGATGAGGAGAAGAAGGTGGTGGACTACCCGGACGGCAAGATGCGGACGCATGTGGCCGACTACTCCAGTGGGTCGTACGCCTCCCCTTGGTTTTGTTTCATCAAGCCAAACGGGACGCTACGGTGGGTGCTGGACTTGCAGCGATTGAACGCGGTGACAGTGCGGGACGCGGGAGGGTTGCCGAATGCGGATGCCCTGTCAGAGTCATGTGCAGAAAGGCCTATAATTTCACTTATAGACCTTTATTCTGGGTATGACCAGTTTCCTGTATACCCGTCAGATAGGCCGGTGACGGCCATGCATACGCCAAGGGGGCTGATCCATATGAATGTAGCCTCTCAAGGATAGACCAATGTAGTGGCAATGGTACAAAGGCACATGATTAGAGCCATGCAAACGGTCAGTCCGCACATTACCCAACCTTATATTGACGACTTGGCGGTCAAGGGTCTAAAGGAGAAAGAGGAAGATGAAGTGATGCCTGGAGTGAGGCGCTTCGTTTGGAAGCATATGCAGGACATCGATAAGGGTCTGAGTTTATTGGAGGAACACAACCTGACGGCAAGCAGCCCCAAGTCGAAGCATTGTATGAGGGAGGCCACGATTTTAGGCTTTGTTTGTAATGAGAGTGAGCGAAGGCCTGATGTAAAGAAGACAGACAAGATCATTGAGTGGCCGGTTCCCTTCTGCTTGATAACGGATGTGAGGAGTTTCCTTGGGACGTGTGGATTTTGGAGGAGTTTCGTGAGGGATTTTGCCACGAAGACGGAGCATTTAAGGAAGTTGGTGCGTCAGGACCAAGAATGGGTCTGGGGCGAAGACCAGGAAAAGGCGGTAGGTAGGATGAAGGGAGAGTTTAGGGAAGGAGGTTTGGTGTTGGGAGCGCCAAACTATGAGGCCACGGATAAAAAACCATTCATTGTCGAGACGGACACTGGGCCAACTGCCTTGGGAGGGGTCCTGATTCAGGCAGATGCTGAGGGGAAGGAGAGACTGCTAAGGTTTGAAAGTCGCATCCTCAATACAATTGAAAGAAACTACTTGCAGTTTAAGAAGGAGACACTGGCGGTACTCCACTGCCTGAGGACCTTTTGGAACTATGTTTTCGGCAGGAGGCTCATTTTGAGGGTGGACCCTACCGCGCTCGCATGTCCGAAGAATTATACTCCATCTGATCCGACCGTCCCAAGATGGCTGACCTACATTTGGATGTTTAATTTCGAGTTGGAAAGGATTCCAGGAAACAAGAACAGGGCAGATGGGTTAAGCCGTGTTAACTGGGATAAGCCAGGGCAAGAATCGGTAGAAGACACCCCACCAGTTGATGGGTTCTTAGACCAGGAGGAAGACGTCCGCCTCCATATAAATGAATGGTCCTTGCGAGTGCCTAGCTGCGCCAGTCACCCCATATGGCTAACGCCCAAGGGGTACGAGCAAAAGAAGGAATCGGTCCTCAAGCCTTTTCAGGAGGAGGATCCGTGGGGAGGTAAGAATGTCGGCTGGATGATGAAGTTGGCATTGGCAGGTACACATAGTCTGGTGGAGGAAGTGAGGACAATAGAGGAAGGCCCAACTCAGGTAGAGGAGCATGAACAGTTAATGGGAGGGATGTATCTGCTCACTAATACGCTCCTGCAAGGAAGCTTTGACCGGAGGGGCTCACTCGGCCCTATGGAAAGTAAAATCCTTGTTCATGAAAGTCAAGATGATGAGTTCGAGGAGGGAGAGATCAGGGAGGATTTTCGCGCGAAAGAATATGAAGGGATCTACTGGGAGTTGGGGCTACTCCTCTCCTGCGAGATGAGGGATAGAGATGCAAGTGCCAAGGCACAAAAGATGAGACACCTCTATGTGGTGAGGGATGGCCACCTGTTTATAAAATGGCAGGTCGGGAATCCTAAAAGGATTGTATGTGGGAGGAACCGGCAGATCGATATCATAACAGCCCTACACGATGGTATAGCAGGAGGGCACAGGGGGATAGGTGCCACGTGCGCGAAGATAAGCGAACTGTACCACTGGGATGGGATGCTGACTATGGTTATTAAATACTGCCAGTCCTGTGTACCTTGCCAAGAGAGGTCAGCGCAAAGGCCAGGAGAGCCCCTGCACCCAAGGTTGGAGACGGAAGTGGGTGCGGTCATACACCTGGACCTGTTGTTCATGCCGGCTGGGGAAAATGGGCGTAATTACATCTTCGATGCACGGGATAACCTCACTGGGTTTGTGGACGGTCGGGCTATCCGGACGAAGACTGGCCCAGTTCTGGCAAGCTGCATCGAAGAGTATTACCTGCGCTATCCCTTCGTCAAAGAGTTCGTGATGGACCGAGGGTCGGAGTTCACCTGCAATGAGGTGCGGACCTTGCTTGTAGGGTATGGCATAGTGGCTAACTATAATACGGCCGCGCATCCTCAAGCGAACGCACCAGTAGAGAGGGGGCACAGTACCATCACAAACCTCTTGGATAAGTGGACGGAGCGCAAGCCTGGTCAGTGACCCAAGTTCATGCGAGCGGCTTTCTTTGCAGAGAACATTACAGTAAAGAGGACTACCAAGTACGCGCCAGCCACGCTATGGTATGAAAGGCATGCCACCTTTCCCTTAGAAAGTTTCATGAAGACGTGGAGGCGCCCGGACTTGGAAGTGAACTTGTCCTTTGAAGAAGTGCTCGATATTCGGGCGCAGCAAGTGGGAACTGCTGAGGAAAGGTTGCGGGAGGCCGCTGGTTAGGTAGAGAGAAGCCGCATGGAAGACAAGATGAGATGGGACCAGATGACCCGCGTAAGAAAGGACCCGCTGAGAGTTGGAGATACAGTGTTGCTATATGACTCCTTGCTGGAGAAGCAATGGTCCAGGAAGCTCGATAAACGGTGGTTGGGACCTTATAGGATCGTGCGGTGTGGCGAGTTCGGGGCCTATCAGATCGAGGAGTTGGATGGAGCGGGGTGGCAGGACTGGGTATCAGGGACAAGACTGAAGAAGTTTGTGGCCAGAGAATAGGTAAGGGACCATGAGCCCTTCTTAGGAATAGAGTCTTGCCCAGATATCACACATTTTGGCTGGATCAGATAGAGGGATGATTGGTATGGATGGGCGTAGAGTGTATGTGGGAGTCTCCTAGGCTAATGGGCTTAGTTGTTGACCCTGTTGTGTGCCTGTTTGCTGTCTCTCGCCTGTTGTGCAGATCTGACTTTTCGAAGGCAGTCATGCAGAGGGGCGGGAGGGACGCACGTTCACGGCAGGGGCCCCAGAGGGCGTATGGGAGAGGCGAGCAACACAGGCCGCCTGGGAGGGAGCCTACGCCCAAGTTCGACGACGACAATATAGAGCTTTTCCTGGACGTGTATCGGGACCATGCGGTACAGAGAGGATGGTCAGTGGCGGAGATGATTCAGCATTTGAGGGGGATAGGGCGGTTTGAGGAGCCTATCGCTCAGATATGCGAGGAGGCCCTGACCTGGCTAGACGTTGAGGCCGGGATGCAGAGGTTGAGAGCTTCACCCATGGGGAGTGATGGCACGCCCATTCGGCTAGATGAGGGGAACGCGGAGGAGTTCATTCCAGCATATGAGCACTATATGCTGAGCCAGGGGATTGCGCAGGAGGGGTGGATGCAGACCCTACTCATCTGGACTAGGAGGGCAGAGAGGTCGGTGGCCAGGCAAATCCGAGATAGGGCACGAGATTGAGAGGACTGCTAGGCTCAACTTAGACAAGCGTTTGGGCGGCGAGAGCATGAAAGGCCAGAGTCCAGGGTAGAGAGGCGGAGGCGAAGCAAGAGGCCAAGGGAACCAGTGCCGAGAGGGGCTGAGGTGGCTAGAGAGGGTAGGAGAGCCCCAACGAGGCGAGAGGACGAGCACATGGAGCCTGCGCCAGAGGAGGAGCCGTTCCCTGCTTGTGGTCTTAGGCCGGTGGAGTTTCGGCGGATCACGAGCGACGAGTTGCGCCCGCCTTCGCCGATGTTACCGGGGCAGGAGCAGATCGTGCCGGGGGAGACGCCATTCCGGAGTCTGGTGACTCACCTTGACGTATCTCGATGAGAAGCCTCACAATTGGGTGAGGGCTTAGCTGAGCCAGTGCGATATGTACCAATGGAGGAGCCGTTGGACCCCGAGGCGGAGGCAGACATACGGGGCCGAAGGGAGCCGCAGGGCCCGGAGGCGATAGCCGAGCAGTGGGGCCTGGCGCGACCTCAGGTTGAGGAGGTGATCGCGGTTGGAGACGACACCCCTTCATCTAGCCCAGCCCCAGAGCAGACGCAACAGCCCTGGCCAGAGGGGATTCCTGAGCCGGACCGCGGGGAGATTCATGAATTTCCCCCAGAGGCCACCACTATACCTGAGCGGGGGGCAAAGATGGAGGAACAGAGAGTGGATGAGAGAGCAGGGATGAGTGTGACCACTCTTTTACCTTTGGCTATGCGTACGGCCGAGTGCCCAGCTATCGGAGGGCCTGCACCAGTGAAGCCGCCGCCAACGTTGCCAAGTACGAGTGGAGGGAAGGATGATGAAACGTTAGCTTCAAGGGGCCATGGATCGCGAGTGGGAGGAGCCTCGAAGGAAACCCGCGAAGAGAAGTCTGCTAGAGTACAAGTCCGCCTGACTGAGATACATGCGGGGCAGGCTGAGATGGAGGCGGCAGCGCCGACACCGCCAGTCGATCCCAAGACAAGCGAGCAGAGGATCGACAAATTGTGGGCCAGGTATGAAGGTCAGAGAGATGCAGCCCGCCAAAGATCGCAGGGGACGGGACAGGCGGACGAGAAGGTGGATGGGTTGAGGGAGGCGGGGGACTTGGGGTTCTGTGCCACTAGGATGGCGGTCGATCGTGTGGACAGGAGGATACGTGAGGTGGCAGTTACATCCTTCGATCGATATAGTCTACTCAGTGATGAGCTGACGGCCAGGAAACTGAAGGTGGAGCACCTGACTACTCGTCTCGCAGAAGAGAAGGCGAGGAGCCAGGCGAGAGAGATTGAGTGGAAGAGAAGGTTTGAGGAACTAGCAGCTATTGTGGATAGGCTTTTGGCGGCCGGGGTGGCCAGACAGACCGCGCGGGCAGGCGTTGATGGCCAGGACCGGGGGACGCAGGTTTCGCCTAGTCAGGAAACGGCGGCAGAGTCCCCTCGACAGAGGAGGCCGACGGAGAGAGTGTCACTGAACTTGGTCGAGGGAGAGGCAACACGGAGGATTGAGGGGGAGACTATTGGGGCTGGAACCTTTATTGAGATGGCTATGCAGCCTAGGGTGTCCCCATCATATGAGACCCGTGCCGAGAGGCTGATCCAGGGACCCCAGTACCCATCCACAGAGAAGAGTGGCGCACAGGAGTCGCTCATGGCTATGTCCACTGAGAGGAGAGGCTCGCGTTTGCATGAGCTGGCGGCTGCCATGGGGATAGGTACACCGCAGGAGAGGCCTCAAAGACCTGATACTTCAGAGTATGCCCCGAGGGTTGGGAGAGATGAGGTCGGCATGCCGTGCCTATTATGGAAGAACCGGTAAATGCCTTCAGACCCCTACGTAGTCCTGCAGTAGCCTGTGAATTGTTTGTGACGCCCCGTCTGCCCACGTGTGCTAATTCTGAGACATATTTGAAGGAATACCAAGCTAACGGTAATGCTTAGTACCACTTGGGCACAACCCCTAGTGGATGGCTGCTAGCCGACACAACCTGGCTGCGGGGCCGCGGGGTAAGAGTTTAAGGGGAGTTGCCCGCCCCAAGGAAATCGCTCCGCGGGATAAGAGTTGAGTCTTTTAGGAATCCTGATTGACTGGTTGTCAGGAACATACCTATCGTTGTATAACTAGCAAGAGGATACTGCCGCTAAGGTAACAATGCGGTGGGTCGTAGACCTGGTCCGATCAACCAGGCTATGGTGGGCCAAGATGGAGACATGGCGCTTTTGTACTCGACTGCAGAAAAGGCTGAGCGAGGATGTAAGCTTATGCACATCCACAAACAAATCCCCCGTCGGGTCCACAGGCCGCGGCTCCTGACTTGATCAGAGCCAGTAGTCACCCACCCTGAGACATCTCTCGCCCTACACTCATTAAAACCTTTCCAAACATTTCAAGCAAACATGGCTCCCTCTCGTCAGACTTTATCAACACATACAAAGTTTTTCATGCCACTCAAATCTTGACCCACCTTTAACTTAGTAAAGGTGTCTCTCGCAGTAGATCTCAGAGTCATCCCCTCTTTCTCTGGGATGAACTCTCACATGACCTCTTCCAACCATGAAGGGGTCTTAACAACGATACAACTTCCTCCTTCCAGAACCATGAAGGGGTTTTCAATCATAAAACAACTCAACCGAGGGACCAACTCCTGGGTCCCTTTTACAACTCGAATGACAATAATTTGGCATGGCAAAGCACTCAAGCCCAAAAGACTCATGAATCCTGTAGGACTCCCATAATCTTTCACAAACAGGTTGCACTCCCCCTCCTTATACTCTGCCCTGTCATCTGCTCATAAGCAGGTCGCACGAGTATACCGGAGGGTAGACAACTTCATAAATTTTCATAACATACACATGAGATGCATCATGTACACCTCCCACACAAAACCAAATACATATTAGGATAAAGCCACACATGTGAGAGTGATAGTGATCGTCACAAGACAAATCTCATAGGATCTCTGCTCATGGTACACTCAGGGAGTAGAATGTCTCCCTCAAAACTCAAACATAGACACTCAACTCAAAACTTTGCATGTCTGAGTAGGACTCACGACCCCACTGTACACCCGCTGAATATACTCAGGAACACAACATCTACCTAGAGCCCACAGAATGCCCAGCCCCTGTCTCACTCTACTGGGAAACTCACCTCTCAAATGCTACAAACCCTCAAATCTCGCTAAGGAGTGCCAATAGCCTCCGAATCCTAAAACCAAATGCGACTAAATGACCTCATATGTCCCACGGCTAAACCCCATCTCCTAGGTCGTAGCCTACAAGAAAAACAATGTCACTCATATATGTACAGTCAGGTGGGAACTCACCCTACCACTCCTAAGACCTGCACACATCTAGGGCCCACCCAACTAACTCAGGGTATGTACACCTTCAACCCGCCCTCTGTGTGCAAAACACTCTGATCCTACTGACGCATAGACAGACCAACCTCTACTCACACAACTCTTTTTGGTTCTGCCTATATAGTTGATCCCTACCCCCATCTGGAGCTCGCTCCACTATCCTGCCCTGTCTGTCATAAAACTTGCCATCAACTTCTGCAACACTCCCCTCGGCCTTATCCCCGAGGAACTCTGGGCAATCCAGGGCTCTATGTCCCCCCTTCTTACACCAGAAACAGGACACGTCAAACCACCTTGCAGTCTTCTTCTTCCTCCCCAGGGAGCTCGATGCTGAAGGCGTCCCCATGGCATCGGTGGTCACCTCGTGACACAATGGTAACCCCATGCGGCCCTGAGATCCGGGCTCCGCGGCCTCAACACCCTCACCCGCTCGTACGGCTATGCTCGCCGGTCCGTACTCTGGCGCATCCGACTCTCGGGGCCTCTCCTCGCGAGGTCTCTCTGGTGCAACCATTATCTCATCCCTGCATGACTCCAAGGGTTGAAACCCTGCTGCAGTAGTTAACTCACTCATAACCTCCTGTTGTTGCTGCTCTGAGCTATGCCCTCCCGAGTCAATCCCTGTGGCCCAAGAGCGTGTGATTGTGAGGAAATTGTTGAAAAAAGGCGAGAATGCCTTTATAGGTCTCATTTAAGGCCCACGTCCCTAGTTATGGCTCTGCTTGCGAGAAAGAGACTAACAGGGACACCCAACGAAAGGCCGACGGTTGTCTAGGACAAAGGGCTAGAGGATGGTTTGAGGGCCTTTGGAACTTGTGCTGTAGTATTGATGCGTAATACACTGGCGTCCTAGTGTCAAGATAATGGAGACCCAGGTTGAAACCCTGGCGGCATATAGTTGTGTTGGCACGGTCTGATGGAGGCCTCAACCCCGAGTCTGTTGGCTAATCGGATTGGTTCTGTTCTCGTCAGCATTTGGAGTGTGAATGGATTTATAACTTTTTGATTTGGCAAAGCGACGGGGACGTCGCTTAATATGGTCCGGTAAGTTGTCGGCGTGAATACCCTTACAAGGGTATCCGCCCGGGTTTTTGCAGGTGACAGGAAAAATGAGTATGGTTGAAGTAAGCCGCGTGGGGTGCGACTGCGTCCGAGGCCGCCTTGGCCTGGTAAGAGGCATGTGGGCGCGCAATTTTAAGGCGCGAGTGTGATTTTTCTGATTGAGTGGGCGACCGGTGTAGCCGGTCGACCCGGACCGTGTTACGGGCTGGTTAAGGAATGAAAGTTCGTTTTTGGTCGGCGCGCGCGACCGACGGTGGGACTGGCGCGCTGGTAGGTGCACGGGACGGCCACGGCGCGGGGTGGTAGGCCAGCGCGGACACTTAGGGGCCGTGGGTACAAGTGTGGGCTGAAAGAGTGGCCGGGGCGGTATCTTGGCCAGGAGCATCGCACGGTACCACTTATATGGGGGGCCGCGCCTGCTGGTACCAGACTTGGGTTTAACCCTATCGATTACGACATTGGATTATTGCCGTGGAGGTGCGGGGATCGAGGCCGGTGGGCGACGGGGCGGGGGCAACGGAGCAGCAAAGAGCTGCGGGGTTGAGGGTCCCGCGAGACTATCCCCCTTAGTTTTGTTGGGGGAGTCCAATCGCGGGGCCGCCCCACAGGACTAAGGGAGCTTTGGCGGGGCAGTTGCCGATTCTTCTTGTGGTCGTGGCCCTATATGTGTCCTTTCCTTTTTTTGAGTTCCTAAAGGCCGGTAATGGGGCCCAGATGACAGGGTCGAAGGACAGGCCTTTGAGTATTTGGGATTGGCGAGGGCCAGGGTGGACCCCGGTGTTGGCCCGAATACCCTTACAAGGGTATTTGGGCACACATTGGCAGTTGACAGGAAAAACACGCCTGACGGTATCTGGGGGCGCGTCCCATTTGTGTTGATTAGAGAGTGTGTGAGCGTGCACTTTGCGGGCATGCGCTAGCTTGACCGCACCTTGACCAAGGAAGGCTGGGAGACGCCGGTAGGACAAGTGAGAGCTAGGCTAGATCTTCTGAGGTGGTCGCAGCCTCGCACGCACAGGTAGAGGTACGGGCGGCGTTGCATTGACCAGGTAAGGCAGTGACTAGAAAAGGTGGTTGTCGGACTTGTTGACCGACGGTTCAGGGCCGCACCACGTGAAAATTCGCAGGCATTGGTTGACCACGCGCTGCCGACAGTAGAAGTCGTGGCGAGCTTTAGCTAGGACGGCGTGGGTCGGGGGTAAAGGGAGTAGAAGTCGGGGCGTTTTTGGCCCAAAGGTGGTAGAACGGGCAATTTCTCGGTGAATATGAGGGGGTAGGAGAGCCCGGCCATAGCTGCGGCGTGATGAGGCAGCGTGCACGGCAAGCCTAGCGGGGCCGTGCCCTCCAAAGTAATACATGGGTGCCTGCGGGCCCTTGGACGCAAGCGGTAAGTTAGAGGAACGGCCTGAGATATTGTTTGCAGGCCTGGGCAGGCTGCCCTTACTCTTTATGAGTAGGGCTGCGCCTGTTGCAAACCAGGTTGGGGCTTAGCCTTATAGGTTACGTCACTGAGTTCCCAACAGGCGGATCCCGGGATCGAGGCCAGGTGCCAGCAGAGGAGCAACGAAGTAGCGGAGGAACGCCTTGGAGCTAGGCCAAGGGGTTGAGGGTCCCGCGGGACTATCCCCTTTGGTTTTTGCTAAGGGGAGTCAGCCGCGGGCCCGTGAGAAATGACCAAGTGCCAGCGGCCCCCTCCCCAACCCCATTTTCCCAAAACCTTTTTCTTTTCTCTTTCTAAGTTTTATTTTTTATTATTATTTGTTTTCCTCAATTTTTCTTTTTTTTCTTTTTTTCTTTTTTTTTCTTTCCATTCGTGAGTACGGTCCAATGGAGGCGCTGGGGTGAGCCTGTGATTAGCCCAAGGGCCTAGCTCAGCTGGTGCACACGAGAGCTGCACGAACTCGGCTCGCATAACTAGAGAGGTTGAACTCTCCTTTTCGATTGCTAAGTGGTGGGGGCCGTCCGAGAGGGTGAGGATAGCGCAGGCTGCCGAGAGAGAGATGATGGTATAGGAGGAGGGAGAGGAAGGATCCGAGAAGGAGGATAGCGCAAAAGGACGCAGCACAACGAGAAGGGAAACAGCTGAGACAATAGAGAAAAAAAAGGGGGAGTGAACGTGGACGCGGATTCGCGCCAGGTACGTTCGAAGGAAAAAGGGGAAAACGACGTCGGGGCAGGGAGCTATGGCAGAGAAGGAATAAGCCATTGTAGGCTCATTCCATAACGAAACCTGGCAGGGGGAGGTGGTAGCTGGGGATTTTGAGGAAGGGCGAACCAGATGGGGCTGCTAGGTTGAGGAAAGAGCTAGTGGAAGGAGAGGGAGAGAAGAGGAAAGAGGCGCGGAGGTGACGGGGAGTTGGGTATGGCCGCATGGAAGAAGGCAGATCTCGGCCGTCTCGCGACGAAAATAGGYGAATGGAGACTTGAAATAGGGSTTTTGAGYYGTTCTGGAYTGATTGGTCACGTCGRATTTTYGATCTGGGGAGCAGCC